TGTCATCTATTATAAAATATAATATTTTTGTAATATTTGCAAAAGGAAAAAGGATTAAAGTTTACTTCCACAACAGCAATATTGCGGAAAACTGACTATATCACACGTCAATTCATTTCGACTCTTATTGCAACTGTTTTCGCGTGTTGACGCCGACCATTTGGGCCGTTGGATTAATCTGTTCAATGATGATATAAATTCTATAGCAATTCTAGAATGACAAATGACAGATTGCTCGAGATATTAACAATTGACAACACAGTATTGAGTACAGCCATCATCAGAGTAATGTAGCCGTTAGATTAGTATGTTCACTGATGATTTAAATTCACCAGCAACTCTAGAATAATCAATGTATAGATCGGTTAAGGCTAGAGATATTTGCAATTGACAGTGCGGTACTTCGCAAATTCACCAACAGAACACTAGCCGTTGGATTTCGTCGAGCTATATGGCACGGAAAGTGTCATATAACGAATGTTCATTTCCGAATTTTATTTAACTATACTTGAATTTCATACACGTATTAAATATGTGTTCGATATTTACGAAGTGAAAATAATCATGTTTCGCTCGTGCAGTATTACTGTCATGTTCGCAGACTTGCAATATATTATTCGGGGATAGGAATTTTACGGATATCCTACGCCTATGTTAACGTATGACGCTACCCAACCTAAAGATAGTGATTTCAGTGTCATAGAAGAGCAGACTTCTTGTTTGCAACGCATAGTACATCGTCACTAGTGTTAGGATTCAATTTAATTTATGTCACTCTAAGCTTAAATTCCGATGATCATATCATGATCAACAGTCAATCTCATGTCGAGCCATTTTGATAATAACACGTAATCGAGACAGAAATGCATCTATTTAGAAAATCAACCAGGAGCCTAATCTATCTCACATACATTGGGCCACGTCTGCAAACCACGTCTCTCATACGTGACACTCGTGTTCAGCCCGATGTCTCACACGGTATCACAAGCGAAGAGGTTAAAAATCCCGCAGCAACTGTAATCAAGCTTTAACCCTATTCTGTAAAATATATTTCCATCAAGAGAATGAGGAATTATAAAATATATAGTATAGGACAAGCTAATTACTTACGGATTGATGATGTAATGAAATATTTGAATCTTTAGTCAAAGCATCAAATGGTCTGAATGACAAGTCAAGCACAAACGGCTTGACATGGAACGTGTTGTTCGAAGGCAGCCGAGGGTTATTGTGGTGGATGCCTTCTCTCAGTATGTTCTACTAATTGAGATACTGAGCACCTTGGGTGTGCAATAAAGGACATTTTCGTGTTTGTGTATACTTTATTATACTGGTAGTTGTTACAATTTCGAATGTGATGTGTATGCGTTATACTGAGTGGTGTTTGCGTTCTGTTCCTGTTATGATGCGTTCTATATGCGTTCTGACCGAATTCTGTTCAGCTTCTAATGTGTTCTCTTCGAGTTCTGTATGACTTTTGATATATTCTCGTCATATTCGTTTTGGTTGGTTAAGGATGGATGTTAATGGAAGAAACATAGAGTTTCTTGATTGAACGTGGGTGTTTCGGAAAGACCTTTGATTGAGAAATAGAAAACTGTCAAGGAAGTTGCCTTTCGGTATGATTTCGGTCACCAATGTGGCGATTTATGGATAAAGGTTTGTTTGCCGCTTCGGTTGGTCAGTTACGCATAGGTCCAATCTCTTGGGTCTGATTGTAGGTTGTAGGATTGTACGTGTTCTGTGCTTTTGTGTTAATTATATTGCCTAATACATTGCTAGAAGAACAGTAAAGCACGTCTAACCTTTTGTGTTACCGTCGCATCAACTTTGATGTTTGCAGGTTTGCAATGTATTATTCAAGGATAGGAATTTTTCGGATATCCTACGCCTATGTTTAGGTATAACGTTACGGAACCTGAAGATAATGATTTCTATAATGTCATAGAAGAATAGAGACTACCAGCGAGCATGTTAGGAATATCCTGGAATGAAATACCTCTTTGTCCCTGTACCGAAACAGCGGACTTCTTGTCGGTAACACACAGTACACAGCCTCGTCCTTCCCGAATCTCCAATTTCTGTGGACAGATACATTTAAGGATTATGGATCCACGAATACCTGCTTTTTAATCCTATTACCGTAAAAAGTACTCTCCTCTCTATCCTTATCGTCATCCGAAGAATCCGTTCCGAGGGTCCATCTAATTGGAGCCATAATCGTCTCGACATTCCCCGACGGAGTGCAACGTAGTCCCAAACATAACCTCATCGTTTGGCAGGGAGCGGAAAAAAATTGTAGGACATACGCGAGATTCTTTGGCCATTTGTCTGGGCCAAAAAAGGGGTAGAAAACGGGGACAACACATGTCGGGCGACGAAAGAAAAGTTGTCACGCATCAACTGGAAACAAAGCCGCAATTCCGCGCTAGTTGCGAAGCGGCAACTTGCTCGATAGAAAAATTCCGCTTGTTGCCTCGCACGGGCACGACGTGGCGCGTCGGTCGATGCACAGCGGCGTCAGGTCCGCGCCGATAAAAGCGGCCCGCCCCGGGCGTTCGCGGAATAATTGGATCGGTTTTTGCAGCTGTGAATCACGACCCTCGACAATCGGACGAACAAGACTTTTTCTCCGCTCATACGACTTTTCCGGGCCAGATACCGCGGCCCGCTTCGTTCCACTCCCTTATCTTCGAAGAGTGCCACTTTTTTCCTTGAGTACACCACACATGATCCCGTTCCATTCTCGTTTTCTCTTTTCTTCCATTCCCCTCCAATTCGCACTAACCTAACCTCCGTCTCGACCTCGCGAGAAACAGGGTGAGGGATCACAGGGAAGTTGAAATGTGTCGGAAAAGGATACAGGTACACTTCATCGTACGAATACTCGAAATATTTATAGGTATTTGTGAACGATTAATTGGATTTGTTTGGAATTTCTATGAAGTTACCTTTTCATTACGACCTACGGTCGGTAAAGTAGATCGCGTTGTTAAAGATAATTGTTTTTCATTTTTAGCAATACAGAGGGTGCGTCGACTCAATTTCTCTCGGCAATATTTTGGCACTCCATACAGTCGTTTAAGAGCATTAATTCTCTATAGTAAATGCCGGTGTGCCAGTTTATCGGCGGAGCTGAAAGGCAACGTTCGAAACTCGTTTCCGCGAACTTTTTCCTAACCTGTACCGAGCACGAGTGAAAATTACACGCTCCACGAATTGGAGAATACTCGACTAGAACGAAATCGCTGAAGAACAACAGTTGGAAAAAAGTTTCCAGACTTGCCGTTAGATTAAAGTGTCTTTTTCCCTACTGCAAGAGGAGATAATTCTCTTTGTTGCAAAGTGTGCCCTTAATGTCGGCCGATTCGGAGTTAATGCCCGTCGCGTTTAAAAGTAATGGGGCTAAAAAGTAGAGGAAAATGAAATCGAAGCTTGCCGCGAGATAAGCGACGGGAACGCTTTATCCTTTTATTTCTCTCGTAATTCCTGGCAAACTCTCTTCCGCGAAGGTGGACTAACGACGACTTCGCGAGCTGCATAAATTGATATCCAAACCGGCAGCCCGTGGATTATCTAGTCACAATTGCTCGTATTTCACTGGAACTGAAGCGTACAAAAATAAATGCATCGAGGTGAATATTTTCAAAATTATTCTCAACCACTCTTCCAAAATCTCAATTCGAAAATTTCAATTGCAGCTCCTACACATCGAACATCGATTGATCACCGATGGTAATTAACAGCCGAGCTAATTAGCGACCGATTTTACACGTACGTGAACCGTTAACCTCAAACTGACAAGTGAGACATAACCTCGAAATGGAAGGAAGATGAATCGAACGAAATTTTATTTTGCATAAAAATTTAAGTTTATTCATTTTGTTACGTGGATTCTTTTCCTCGAGAAATAAGAATTGACCAGTAAACCGTTTTCAGGCAACGATCACGTGCACGGTTACGGAGATGATCGCGTGGAAAATGCGGACGCGGAAAAACGCGACGTTACAACGGATCAGCGGAAGGTTAAAAGGCAATTCGGTGGAATTGTTCTCCCGTTGCGGGAAACGGTGCGCAAACACGCGTGAGAATGGCTTCGCATTCCCAACGTCGACCGATTCATTGGCGTCGCGATTATCGCTGTCACGCTCCGATTCACGGCTCTACGGAGTTTTCTCTTTGATGTTCGGCGAATTTGTATGTTCTCTCTTCCATGTCGTTTCGCCCTGAAGGACAGTTTATAGCCATGACAACTTCATTTCAGGAAGCCACGATAAAATGATCTCTTCCATTTTGTAACCTCAGAGCTACCAATGGCTTTAAATGCAAATACGAAGTTTTACCATGATTTCTGTCTTTCCGTTCTTGTCTGATTTGTACTCGAGTTAAATCCAGCTGTAGGGAGTCATTAGCAATGGATCAACTTGAATCCAACACGAGTCTAATCCAAATTCAGACCTGGTACACTTATGCAGTTGTGGTGTCTAATTCAATCACTCTATCAACTTAGGTAGACCTAACCATTTGATCTAGACCTAATCCCTTAACCTAGCACTAATACCCTAATTCACTCCTAACATTCTAACTTGGGTCTAGGACCTTAAACCAAACCTACATATAAATCATGCAGTCTAGTCACCTAATGTCCCAACTTAAAACCTATATTCTAACCTAGTTCTAATCTGGACTTAATATTGTCCTGCCAAGCTAGTCCAAAACCATTCAAACCTATTTCAAACTCAACCTAGTTCTACCATCCTAGCATAGACACATTGACATGTGTCTGAAACTGACCTGGGCTCTCTGATACTAATACTTTAACCTGATCCATACAGGGACCTAACTTAATCTTATTTAAATCTCTTTCAGTCAAATTTCTTCATATTTATACAGAAGTATCGAGTTTTTGAAGTTGGGGAATCTTAATTTAACAGCTAAATTCGCAAGTAGTGGAGCTGGTAATAATTGTAATCCTTCTGATTTCTGATTTTAGACACGGTCGCGTTGAGGATGCTGGAACTGGTGGTGCCCCAGCACGTGGTCCGTGGTCAAAATATCAGATTGGAGTGTAACTTCAACCTGGACGGTGAAACATTGTACTCGGTGAAATGGTACAAAGACGGAAACGAGTTCTATCGATATGCACCGCAAGACAGACCACCTGTGCTCGTCTTTCAACTGCCAGGTGTCACGGCGAACGTAAGAATCACATTGTATTGATTTTTCCTTGTCTCGTGGCAATGCACCCCTCTCGCCGCGGTGCTTTCTATTTAAAGCCAGTCGCTTTTCATTTTTATCGCGTTCTATTGCTCAGTTTCCCCTCGGCTTATCCGTTTCCGGTGTACAAATCTCCCCGGAACCTTTTTGCCGCGAAACCTTATTATCCTTAACTTATGAATCTCAATCGGCAACGTTGGTCTAACATCCAACGCCATCTACATCCACGAATTTTTCAAACAAAATCGAAATTTGATAATTTTTCAAGAGGGCAGGACAGTTTGACGTACTCAAAAATTAGTGAATCTTTAAAGAAATACTGGAGAAAAGTAGTAACTTGATTAACATAAGCTTTTGTCACTTATTTCAATAATTTATAGGCTATGTAAAGCAACATTAAATTTTCAAACAAACGTTCCTTATTTAAATTTGTGACGTCATCATTTTAAAGTAATATTTTTCGATATGCACACCTTTCGGTGTGCAGGATTGCAGACAAATGGAGTTAGTGATATAAAAAAATCAAAATGGACTTGAAACTATAACATATTCTTTAGGCATTGACGTTCGAATATTTCAATTTTATTGAAAATTAACAAAATGGCAGCTATTTATACATGATCTATCGAATTTTTACGAAAAATGTCATTGTTTTTTGTTAATAACTTTTGAAATTGTTACCAATTTTTTCAAAATCGAACGTCAATACCTAATATACGTTATAATAAAGATGTATGCAAAATTTCATAATAATTGGTCGATTATATCTCGAGATATCTTGCACACCGTTTGAAAAACGCGTTTAAAGTTTCGGAGCGTAATTTTTCATACGTATCTTTAATTTTTCGCAAATCAATCATTGCTACCTCGTACATATGACCATCTGCTTCAACTTTAGTCTATTGCACGGCTGATAGACTGAATCTACGGGCAATTCGACTATTTTCAGAATTTTTGAACGATCGTCTATTAGGTGTTTTAATAACTTTTTCGTCAAGTGTGATGCATAGTGCAGCAACTATTGGTCTCATAATTAAATTCATAATGCTTATATGTCATATGACACTGAAGAAACCTTTATTGAAAATATTAGCAGCAATATAAACAGCAATTTTCGTGTTGATAATGACATTAGATAAACTTTCCTTAGAGCTAAACGCTAAATAGTATTATCAAAATTTCATTGTAATTTTGGGTCAATCCGTCCAAAGCAGACCAAAAGTAGACATATATCACGTCAATTTCTCGGCTTTTCTGATATCACGATCTACAGAATTGTTAGATGACTGTTTAGTCATCTATTCGTATTTATCTATGTACATTAGATGAACTTCAAACTGGCTAGCTTTCCCTTTTATCCCTTACTCATCCTTATCGCCCTATTGCTGACTCCAATCCTGAGCTTCCCTGCATCATCCTCCCTTAACTTCGATCTGTAGACATCCCCCACAACTTCCTAATTCACATATAAGTACTGCCAATAATCTGGAAATCGCCATTCTTGTGCTAGTAGTCAACCCTCACTTACTTCCTAATTCACATATGAGTATTGCCAATAATCCCAAAATCACCATTCTTGTGCTACTAATCAGCCCTCACTGATTTCCTAATTCACATATAAATATTGGCAATAATTTCAAAATTACCATTCTTGTGTTAGTAGACAATCCCCACTTACTTCCTAATTCACATCTAAATATTACCAATAATCCCAAAATTGCCATTCTTATGCTAATAAACAATCCCCACTTACTTCCTAATTCACATCTAAATATTGCCAATAATCCCACAATCACCATTGTTGTGCTAGTAGACAACCCCCACTTATTTCCTAATTTACATATAAATATTGCCAATAATCTGGAAATCGTCATTCTTGTGCTAGTAGGCAAGCCCCACTTTCTTCCTAATTCACATATAAATATTGTCAGTAATCCCACAATCACCATTGTTGTGCTAGTAGACAACCCCCGTTTACTTCCTAATTCACATATAAGTATTGTCAATAATCCCAAAATCACCATTCTTGTGCTAGTAGTCAGTTTGGAATGCTACTCTAAACTACATACTCGACCGCATCGTTCCTTTCAAAGTTCCCATGTCAGTTGTAGCGAAAATAAATACTTCCTTGGAGTACAACAGAATAGATTCCACGCTGATAGACAGTCACGTCAAGTCGTTCTACATGTGCTGATGCGTTAGGGCACGCAAGATCTCGAATCTCTAAGGTTTTGACTTCCTTACATCCAGAAATAATTTCTTTCAAAGAACTGCGTATATTACTTTTAACACTTCGGACTACTATTTAAAACAAACAAAAATCGATTCTTTCAAATTATCAAACTGTCCTACCCCCTTAAAGAACGTTATGTTTAATCTCCCCTTTGCTATTCGGTTCAATGAAATATTAAAACTAGGAATTCTCTAGTCTCGCGAAGAAATATTGGAACTAGGAATTCTCTGGTAAGAGGTTAGGATATGGGAGTAGAATGATTCGGGGAAAAGTTGGGTTAATTACACGGGGTTAATTGTCTGAGGGAGCTACATAGAAGCCATACTCTTTTCCAGATTCACAATTCGACCGAGAGATCGGTCGTTCTCTATTCCGTGAACCTAATGAGCACCGGAAGATACAGATGCGAGGTGTCAGCCGAGGCGCCGTTCTTCCAAACGGTCTCCGATCACTCAGACATGCTGGTAGTGGGTAAGAAACGTTCACAGATCGTTGCATCAGTTGATCTTCCTCTTACGAGGAACAGGAAGCGTTTTTCATTCTAACGAAAATACTAATCTCGACTTTTCTCGCTGGTCCTACTGAATTGGAAAACACATTCCAAGTTAATTTTAGTCCCCTGTCGTTTTTATTTTCTCCTTCTATTTTCCTTCTTATCGATCATTTAATACTACGCAAACACTGTCCAGAATGGAAAAAAAAGATAGTAAAACTTGCAGCCCTACCGGAAGACGGACCCGTTATCACCGGTAGACCAGGGAGACATCGTTATCAGGTCGGTGACGTGGTGCGGTTCAATTGCACTTCGGCGAAATCGAAACCAGCTGCCATGCTCAGCTGGTTCATCAACGGGGATCCTGTAAGTGACTTACGTGGGACAGTGGTGGTAACGTTCATGCTTGTCAGAGCCGTGAGACCCCGTGGGAAAAGCTGGTGACATTTTTCTTATACTTGCTCGTAATTGCTCCCTGCCATCTGATCAACTTCTCCCATTGTCCGTTCGCCCTTACCGCGTATATTGATTTTCAGAACAAGCATAGCGTGATGTTACACGAAGAAACGGTGTTCTGTTAATTGGACGAGCGAGGTGGATCGTTTAAAGCAGCTAATTGAAGTGTTATAAATGGTAACCATTCGCCAGTGCTGTACATTTGCCTGAACGGAGTGGAGTACCTATGGATGCACTCGAATATGGGTATATCTCGAGTAGCCCTTGCTCTTCGCTCTCCAATAAATGTTAAACGTCGATTATTTATTCTTCCATCTAATTTGCCATTCGCTTTGACCCGGAACTAGTCTTCTTCCTAAAACGACAGTCGATGTCCATTGGTTGTTTCATTAGTAATTATCCGACACAGGACTGGTTAAATATCCGTTAATAATTCGTGTCCTTCCACTTGTCCGCCATCTTTCCAAACACTGCAGTTCCTGGAGTTCGGTCTGACTCGATCACAGGGTCAACGCAGTGGTAACTTAGCCTGGTTAGCCTCGCTCGTTCAAGTGGAATTGCAAATTAAACCTCTCCCTAAACACGCAGCACCTGCACGTGAGAAGCAGCCCTTTTTTTTTTTTTGGTCGCTTCAGGTCGACACGCAATACTTGAGAGGGCCCCACATCACCGAGGTGGATCGCGAGGGTCTGGAAACGGCTGTGCTAGGTCTGGAGTTCCGTCTGCGTACGAAGCACTTCAAAAGGGGGGACCTGAAGATCAAATGCCTGGCAACGATAGCGACCGTATATTGGAAATCGAACGAGCTCAGCATAGAGGGTGAAAGGCCCCTCAAGATGCCGGTCATGGAAAGCAGAGAGACAAGGGCGCAAGGCCACACGCACGCGGAACATATCTTAGGAGGTAAGAAAAGAAATACGAGAAGTATGATATGAATGATATAACGCGAGATAGAACCGTAAAAAAAGTTATTCTTCGGAGCGAAAAGCATCGAAAAATGTAGAACGACGGTTTTTCATGGAAGCTTCCATTCTGAAGGAAAAGCACTTTGAAGAGATCACTTAAGGACGCGTGCACTTGACGGAGGAGCCTCAGTGGTTCCCATTCCTAATATTTTATGTTGTATGTGGAAGATATATTTGTTAGATCAGATTCATCGTTCTTCATACTTATACAATTACTATATTATTTGATTGTATATAAGTTACAGAGAAAATGCAATAGTCAAAAGTATTCAAACATTGAGGTTATACAGCCATCTTTGTTCTGGAAGCTCTAGTTTCCTTGCGTCGATAAATAAAGGTACCGTCGATAATGAAAATCATAGCCGATAATTTATCGATGGATAATAGAGAAGGAAATTATCGTAAATATACATTAAACTTTTTTTGAAAATATGAGAACCACTGTTATGCTTCAGTTAAATGCACGTGTATCAGATTTTCAAAGTCGCTTTTCTCATAAAATTAAATACTGAAGGGAAAAAAGCATTTTATTATTTTTAAAACGAGAATCATTTTTACTATATTTTATATCGTATTAAAAATATTGCGTAAGAATATTCCAAAATTTAAATTTGAAATACGAATTCAAATTCAAATTTAAATTTAAATTAAAAAATTCTGGCACATTTCGAAGAGAGCCTAAATTATATTAAATCCACGATGACATCCACTTAGCTTGTTTCATTTCTAAACGGATTTTCTTCCCCTCGGGGAGGTCCGCTAACCTGTAAACGATCCCCTACCACTGAAACATTAATCGTCAAGATCGATGCCAAGAAAAAAAGACTGGCTGTCAACGTGGAATCAGCGAAATATCGTTAAAAAAAACTGTTAGAACGAATCAGAGGCACGTTCGTTTGCCGACAATTTGCTGACTTATGGTTGCATGCCCAACGAACATCAGTAAACCTGTGTCAGTATCTGTGAATGCAATTCTCTCGCCAATATCGATCGAATTAGAACGACGATACGTTCCGATTTTTCACTCGAATTTCCACCGTCCATTTTATTTTTTGTTCTTTTCTTTGCCTCTGATTCGTCAGCCAAAATTGCTTGTTAAGATTTATCGTGCTTCAGTGACTTTTTATTTATTCTCTTTCTTTCTTTCTTTTTTCAGAAAGCGGGAGCAGCACATTGGCACCATGCATTCTGCTGCTGATAACTAGTTTATTGATTCTACGATAAGAAGAAGGACACAACGTGATGCCGCGTCCTTTTCGTGCTCATCCTTTTCAGGCCTCCAAACCGAATCTTGTGGAGACCCCTGTGTACTAAATTATCCGTGTTGTTTCTATTTTTTATAATCGCAGTTAGTGGAGTTAGCGAGGACATAGGCAAGAAAATATACTTAACAGAGATATACGTCACTATGTTAGAGTGTTAGAATATGGGTGGACGAGTAAATTCGTACTTAATCAGTTCATAGATTCCTGAACATCTGTTACAAATTTGCATACTTTCGTTATTTCTTTTCATATAGCGCCTCCTTGCTCTATTGATACGTCTCTGATAACTATAGTTATTCTTAAATTCTAAATTTACAAATAAGGTGTTCAGAAATTTATGAACTTACTAAAGGAAACATAATCATGGTTACTTCAAAGGTTTTTATTTAATCGTTGACACAATTCAGAAAACAGAGTTTAAAAAGCAGTCTCGATTTATAAATCTACGTTTATACATGTATCTTCAAACTCTTGACAGTGCGAAATTGCCACTCTACGTACTTTTCTTTTTCTCTTCTTCGTCTCTTATTGTTAAGGAAATCACAAGCGTAAATGAACGAGTTATAATCAATCAGAATGAATGAACAAACGCCGAGTATATTTATATTCTAATTGTACACGAGTGTTTCTATCGTCCAATCGCGAGAGAACAAGGAAAATTTTAACCCGGTGAGAGTGTTCTCTTTCGTCGTAGCTTTTATCAATCTAGTCGCTATTAATCAGCCGCAGAGATATGTTACTCTAGAAGTTATTGTGAGCCGTGTGTATGCGTGTGAATGTAGAGCGTGTTTTACCAAAGAACGTCGGAACATTTTGCGCTAAATAACATTCCTAATTGTTAATTACGAGTGAAATACATAGAGTGGATTAAAAACCACTCTCTGCATACGGTATTTTACTGTAAGAGCATTCTGTACATATGTACATAAAACGAACCGACTTTTATCTTTAACTTAACGTTCTGATAAATAAAGCGGCGTTTACGTCGATGAATCAGAGATAAGTTTCAATTTCGTTTAAGGATAGCTTTTTAACTATAAGACACTGTGTGTACTATTCGTATTATAAACTAGAAAAATCATAACATGGAAGTATTGAAGAGGCATCTGTCAGCAAAAAACTGATGGCGCTTCTTGAATTCGCAAGACTTAGTCGGCGATTTTCTGAAAAAATTGGAAATCTTTTGATCCCCATGATTCCCTGTATCTTCCACTTCTTCCCACTCAACGGATATTGCCTGTGATTCCAGAATCTTCTCAGCAGTAGACCAACTGAATCTGACAATACGTGGGAATCCAAATAGAGAATCTACGTTTTCTGACAGCCATTTTTTAGTTTCTGGATCATTCGGATATCCGCTTCCAAATTCCGTTGTTATTGGTCCCTCAAGAAAATGCCAAGCTCTAATAGCATGGTCTCGAGAAACTTTTGCGCAAATACTGGCAGCACTAACAATAGGATACGTGGAATCAGCCTTTTTTGCGACCGTTATCTTTATATCTGGAAAAATTTGCTCTAGTTTAGCCTGATATTTTTCTGGTTTACCCACCGTATCTACGTAGATCTCTGTAATCCTTGCACCAGCTTCGATTACCAATTTGGTTAACTCAATTGCAGAATTCATAGACACCTCGTTTAAAGAAGTTTTAACACGACGATACATGCTATTTGCGATAATATTGGGAGATATAACGTCCACAGCCCAACCTATAATTTCGTGCTGCCCGCAGATTTTGTCAAAAATTACATCCCTTTTCTCCTCTGTCAAACTCTTGGAATCGGCGCAACCCAAATCAACGAGAAGCTGTTTTTCCGATAGAGGTGCGTAAGAAATTCCATAAACCATGGGCCCTAAGACCGGTCCACGTCCAGCCTCGTCGATACCAAGCTGACACGGTTCATCCTTGCATATTTGTGGTACCTAGAAAAAGTTTTAAATGGGAAGAATTGAAGTTAGACACTTGATTTGTTCGAAAAATGACTTTTTCGCGAACAAACATTTATAGAATAGAAATGTATTATCAAAAAATCTATGGCTTAACAATTAAATGATGTTTATTTACAATAAGTTTATTCTATATTCTTGTATCATAGAAAATATATAAATATATAATTATCGAATTGCTCTTTTACAATCATGCTTTTTTTATTAAAATTTATGAAATTTAACTCGTTTTACAAGCATCTTTAAAATACATGATATCTTTTAAATTTCACCAATAATAAATCAATAATCTTATGTTTGCAAAAGAGCAAGTAGATATTACATGATATTGAAACAACTACATGCTGCTTGAAAGAGCATCTCATACTTTTTTACTTATGAACAAGGTCAAGTTAATGTTATGTTCACAATAACCTCATATTACACCATTAGATCTCAAGAAAATAACAAGTGAAGTAAATGATAAATAAAAGAATAAGTAGATTTCGGCAGTGGCATAAATAAAATATATTGTTTGTTTCATATATATACCTCTGACAAGTGAATTTTATTGATGCTGTGATCCCAAGCTTTGAAATACGGGGTTAGGTCTTCTCTGCAGGTAATTTCTATATCTTTCTCATGGTTAATACAATTTTCTTTTAATTTCATTTCTTCATCGTCGTCCATAACTTTGTTTTCTTTTTCCATAACGTTTACGAGTTTTGCCGCTCGAAATATATCCAACTTAACCTCTAAATAAAATGTCAATGTTCAGACTAACCGCCAAAACTGATAATACGAGTATCGATAGATCGTATCGAAATGTACTAAATGATTTTTTATTGCAAATGAACATCGTCTTTTTTAAATTGCAAGAGAATGATCGACGAAATCAATAAATTCAGTATAATCTAAAATATTTTGCAAACATGTGATCAAACAATCGGTTAAATACTTAAAAAAAGAGCAATCTCGATAACACGCATATATCGATAAACAACGTTCAGTATCGATCTCTATATTTGCACGATTAAGAGTTTCTGACTACCTGTGTGCATGTGTTGCGTGTCCTCGGTAGAAATAATTGATGACGCCGTGTGTTAGTAATATCGTGTGTCGCAAAATATAACCTCACAATAAAATGCTCGAATCCTTATCGGTGTCATTAAAGATCCCGTTCTTGCAAAGAATTTGATTTTACACAATCGTTTTGGTTTACGGACGCCCCGGCGTGCACATTACATCATGAAAATTATCGTGAAGAAGCTTCGAGGGAAACAATGCGTTGTTGACGTGAGTACTCAGCACTTTAATTTCTTTTTTCTTCTACTTATACCAATAAACGTCACACGATCAATTTATTGTATCTGTTAGCTACTAACGACTTTTCTAGAAATTTTCTGGTTCCGTGCACGGTATTCTTTTCATGTTTCGAAGTCAGCACATAATTTTTAGCCTTTTCTATTTGGAGTAGTTTTAACGATGGTTAAACACGTTTTACAGCATTTTGAACGGTATTAAGCAGTCATTTATTATAACAGATTACATCTTCGGATTCAGTTCTTCAGTTAAAGCACAAAGTCAGTGACCTTTTGGGCATAGATGTTCCACAACAAAAACTGTTGTTTATGGGCAAGACATTATCTGGTAAGATCTAAATTACAAAAGAAATATTGAAATTTTGGACTAGCAGCTTAATAGTGGAACAATCTTTTAGATGAAAATCCATTGAGTTTCTATCCAGGAATTAAGGATGGAAGCAAGTTAAATGTCTTGGTTGTTAAAAAGGCAGAGGAAGGATCTAGTGAAGGAAGGGCTTCACACAGCAAGTCTGGCATGTATCTCTTACGAGATGAAATTTCTAGAGTTCTGAGGCATTATTATACAGAGTCAGAGACAGAGTCAATAATCAATGAATTGATAAAAGACCTGAATAATAAAGTGAATAACCTTAATTACGATGACTTAGAACGATTAGCAACTGCGCTCCTCCAGGACCAAGAAAATATAGCTTAAGGATACTTTGGTTTCTCAATTTCTTGCTTATTATTTGATTATTGTAATACATTTTTATTTAATTAAAGAACGTTGCCTCATTGTACCCTAATAACCAGTAGTATATTTTAAATAATCGTTAAAATGAGGATGTGCAAAGAACAACAAATGTATTAAAAGGTTGGTTTTATTAAAACACATAAAGTATAATAATTGTAATTGCACTTAATAAAAGACAGGTGCTCTCAAGAATCAGCCAAATCCAACTGACGGAAATATCTTGCGACAAGACATATAAATAAATTCAGTGTCCCTATTTCATGTACTTCCAATTTCATCTAAAAAAATAAACAAGAAAAAAGGAAAGTAGTAGGCAAATTTAAGATTTATAATGAGAGGACACCAATTTTAGGTTACCAATTTTAATTCAACCTTTGGAACATATAACAAAAATTTTTTCTTTACAAATAATTCCATATAGAGGATGAGATTAGAAGTTATTTACTTTTTATATTTTTCATATAAGTTATAATGACTAATTATTCACCAACATTGTAAATATGTATCTCAGTTAAAAATTATTTGTATATTATTTTACGTTTATTAGCATCACTAGATAAGAAAATAAAACCAAGCAGGATTTTTTTCCTTTTAAAAACATAGAAAAAGAAATGTTCACATAGTATATAAATATTTGTACAATATACTAAATACAAATTATTTTATTTTAAATATTATTCATTCCAAAATTTGCATTTTGAAATAAATGTACTTGAATTCTGGTTTGGAATTGTGTAATATAACTTGTACCGATGACATACAAATATAAAATTATTTAAATTGGCATCCTAAAATTGGAGTCCTCTTCTCATTAAATGATAAATTAATTAGAATCAGAGTGATTTTTATGTCTCCTTTAATACAAGTAATAATATTATCTCTTTCTTTTTAGACTACTTTAATTCAATCCCTGATTTTTGTCAATGGCATTTAATATATATGCAATAAAATTGATTTGTTAAAAAATAAAAAGAATATTTTTTAAATCCATTATTACCGATTTTGCACGCATGATTGAACATACTCTAGCCAAAGAGCGCAAACAAGAACAAGTATCTGGAGTTAATGGCATTTCCAGAACAACCAACAATGCATAAATCCATTGCCCAAGTTCATATTCTATCTTATCCAATGTCTCAATATATTCCACTAAATATTCTAATATTTGTTCCACCATAGGTTGATTTAAACAAAAGATGATATCCAATGTTGGAATAATCCTTATTGTCTCTTTGTCATTACCTGATAAGGAGTTGATCCAACCTTTTTCGTCGTCTATTTGTGGCTATAATATTGAAATAATTAAAAGCACAGAAAATGTATATCGAGCAACAAATCAATGCACATGTTAACCTAACACATACCATATCAATCTTTGGAGGTTCCCATTTACGTTTCAATGTTTGAATTTCGTTCTTCAACTGACTTATATATAATCTGATATTGGAAAAGTCTGATACTTGGTATAATTGCCAATCAAGCGTAGGGCCAAGCCATGGTGGTGCCTCCACACAGCCTGATAACTTATAATGTTGTGTTTGCATGATTATTATACATTCAAGTAAGAGTAGAATTCTTATTTCTTGTGTAAACCATCGTAAAACATTGTTTGCAAACTTACAGGTTCAACATCAATTGTAGGATTTTTAAAACGTTTCCGATCAATATCGGCTACTACAATATCATCGCATTTTTGTGCTTCTATCCTGTAATGAAGCTACGTAGAATTATTCTTTCTTTTTTTTAACAATTTTTTACGGATTTACTTACACTACTCTTTTGATATATTCTTCTCCGGAAGTTGGTGGAAAGGATAGGTTAACATTTTTATCAATTTTTCCAACAATAAAAGCAGGTTCTCCCACATAATCTGTCATGTTGTTTATTATTTAATGAATATTTCAAACTTCTTTTTAATAGAATTGATTATTCATTAGATTTTTTTTATTTCGGTTTTTAAATAGGTTATATCATTTCTATCGAAATAGGTTATGTGTGAAATGAGTGCGAAATGAGTGAATCACATTGAAAACAAATTTTAAAAAAGGTGTATTTGATAATTGTAGTTTAACAATGTGCCAGTTATAGTATTATAAATATTTGTTTTTACCTGCTTTTCTTTTTAAATAATGTTGCCAGTAATCTTAATGTAGTATTATTTCGTAATAATTGAATGTAATAAAAAGGGTAATATATTTAGACCCTGTATATCTACAACATAAATGACATTTTAATTACAAGTAACATCGAAAATACTTAAAAATTTGAATAAAGCAAAGCACATTTATTTGATTACGAATAATGCTTATATGTCGAACTTCTTTAACCTTTAGATATTTTTAATTTTTTTAAATATTAGTTCATGTACATTATTCATTTTTTTAGAATAATAACGTTATATTTTTTCTGCCCAGACATGTATGTATTTCTGTATTCTTAATATTCTTAATATTGTCATATATTAAAGACAATTTATTTTCTAAAAAAATATATTAAATAATACATTTTAATATATACATAAAAAAATAGATAATGATAGATTAATTTTATAATTATAACCACTTTTGTATATGTTACATATATAATTTGTGAGATACATTTACAAGATATATGGAAAACAATTAAATAACTTTTATGTATTAATAAAATTGTAGTACATTATATATTAATCCGTCTATTCTTAATAACATATAGTCTTACAATAAATCACATCATGTTATAAATATAGAATATCTACATACATATAGGAACAAAAAATGTTATTGAAGATAATTACTTAAGTCAATCTCTAAATGTTAAATTTAATATCATCTTTTGAACTTCTTTCTGTAAATGAATTTATTTTGTATTTTAACTTGATATTATGCAACTTTGTTGCTACATTTGATTCATGTGAAAGTTTAATATCAAACTTACCAAAGAAATTTTGATATTAATTGAAAAAAAATATCAGAACAATATAATATTAATGTAGGTATACTTACGTAAATGCTATTTGAAGATATATTATAAATTTGATGCTTTAAACTTATGAATTAATTTGGCTTTGAAATCTTGTGCATTTATTTTCTTTTCACTTTTGAAATTGTGTTAGATTTGCAGGAACTTCAAATTCTAATAATCTCTTTATCATTTTTTTACTTAATACAGAATCTTTTTGTACTTTTTTCTTTTAATGTTTCCATATGCTGTGAGAAAGTAAAATGAAGATAACATTTACAATAATTAAAGTAGGATTAAAATTTGCATTATTTTTTTGTAGTTACTGTTTTTAAAATGCCATTTAAATAATATATATCATGGAAATTTGATTACTTAATCTTTTCTGTATTTATTTTTAACTCGATTTATGATGAATATAAAAAAAAATATTAAAAGAGATTGTGCAAAAATCGAGGTTACAAAATAAAGAACATAATGTTTACCTTTTTTTAAAATTTACTTATATATATGAACCAAGTATGATATTATACAATTTTACAAAGTATATCTAAAGTACTAATCAATATATAATGATATTTTATATAAAAGCAACTTATAATTTATGTTTATGTAATAAAAATAAGGTACATTGTGAAAACTATAATATTAATTATATTTTGAATGTATTATCGTGAATAATTACATATACATATACTTCTGCAAATAAAATAGCATTTATGATCATAATTTGTAATAACTTGTATAGGAAATTAGCTTGGATATACTCCAAGGGACTGGATAGTTTTAATATAGCTCAATATAATTTTTTGTTATAAATAATAAATGTTCCTGATAATGTCAATCTTGTGTTAGTGTTTTGAATGACTTATGTAGTCTAATATACTTAAATTTGAGACAAATATATTATTATCTTATTTTTATTTTGATTAATAAAGGTCTTGCTTAAACACGAATATTTGTCATACTAAAAGTTGTTTCTATCTATACTAGTAAATTTCTTGGACAATAAAAATGGTTTGCATCTGAGCTAAAAAGTTTTTGTTGGTGAGTAGAAGTGAATAATTAATTATCTACAAAATTTTGTTAATCTATTACTAATTCTTTATACATTTCTTAATCTTGGTTTGAATATGTAACTGTTTATTTGGAATAAACATTGTAATTAAATATATTGAAAAGAAAAAAATTAGTTTGCATTTATTTTATTGTTTTCTATTTATAAACGTCGATCTATCCAATTTTTGTTTTATTCTATTGTAAATTACTGTCTATCTTTTTCATTCTCAACTTTCTTAGAATACAATTCTATAATACAGTCTACAATTAAATATATAAAAATAAGACTATCTAATTAATAGGAGTAATGTAATTCTATTACTTTTATATAATTCTATTACACTACTCTCATTAATTAGATAGTCTTGTTTTCATGTATCTAATTATATTCATTTCATATATCTAATTAATAAGACTAATGTAATTCTAGAGTAATTAACCTAAAGTTAATGTAATTCTATTCAGTAGATGACACGTACTAAGTCAAACCATTCTTAGATCATGAATGAGAGATATAGAGGTATATGATCGATCTTGACAGGCGCACGTTCATTCGGCGTGATCTGTAATGACCTATGTCACCATCTATCGGAAAATTTACAAAATATCTAGAGTGTTTTCAAGCTTCCTGATTTTTTTCATAAGAATAAGTCAGATAGATGTCGCTAGTTTTCACTTTTCATTACTGTCGCTAGTTTTTATTTATTAATCGATATATCGAAATATCAACGCTTTTGAAACGTAAGAAAATTTATTTTACAAAACATAATGTGTCCTAGTTAAAATATTTACAGGATAAATATTTACAGTGAACAATATTTATAGGATTTAATAGTAGTTTTGTACCAACTTTAATGTCAACAAATATATCTTTTTTTTTTATAAAGAAGCGAATAGAAATCCAAAGGTTTTTTAATGAGTTTGTATTTCTTATGTCTACAATTGTAATACATTTTACATACAGAAAAAAATGATAGAATGGTCTTACATACGAGAAATATAAGATAAACGTATATTGTAAAAAATATTTTTTTATCTAATATCTTGGAGCCAGAGTCTTTTACCATTTTAGTGTGTTTCCGACATTACCGATTCTGCAAAGAATAAGACTACATTAGTAATTAGAATTAGAACTATATTGAGTTATGAAATTACAAATAAGGTATATGAGGGAATATTTCATTAGCACAAATAGAATATAGGACTTTACATGTGGTGATCACTTCGTATAGATGGTGAACGCATATCAAAAAGGAGTGAACTATAATACGACCAGAGAATATTGGAAATTAGTATTTACAAGAATTCACTTATACCTCTATAGGTATGTATATTTTTTATTAATTCTCCATAATAACATTAATATTTTATGGACTGTATCATATAAACGAAATAATTTGCGATAGCATTCATATCGATATACACTCGCAAAATTAGTTTTAATTTTATGTAGATTCATTTCTAAAAAAAAATTTTGAATAATGACATGACATTTTTTAGGTTATAAAAATACTCCATTCGGGTAATTATAAAATAGGTATTTGGTTATTGCTTTCCTATAATTAAGATAGGCTTTTGTGTAAAAAGGAGACAGATTGTAAGAGTTCCCTGATAGGCAATACTTTTAAATAAGCCATATTTGAACCTGCTGCTTTTTGTTGGTGAAAAATCAGAGGGTACATTCCGAACTTTTGGCTGGTGACTCAACCATTGTAAATTGTAATTTTTTTACAAAATCTTTCTAAAATTATTGCGGATGAACTGTTAAATTTCTTTTGACAAAAATTACTTCTTGTGTAATATAAGTACTTGAATTTAATTCTAAATATTTAAAAAACCATATGTAAAAATTATATATAAACATTTATTTTGTATTTTTATTATTCAGGAATTAATATCGTGTTACATATTGATTTATGGAGAAGGCTGAAATAATTTTCCTGCTAAAGTTAATCATTCGAACAAAACTTTTATTATTACCTGAATTAGTATGTAAGACAAGATTCAGTAGGTCAGTATTTAGTTACATTGTTCTGACATCAATTTTTCAGTAAATTGTGTGCGAAAATTTGATATATGGGATAAATGCCAAACAATGTCATGATATTTCTTAAAAATTTCTTTTTAACAATTTAATTGTAAAAGTGCAAAATAAAATTTTAATAGCAACCTTTTTATGGTAAAAGTAACTGTCTGTATTAAAGGAATAATTATTGATGAAGTTCAAATCACTATTAATAAAAGAAAAGAAAAATCACTTTTATTTGAATAACAATTAATATTGTCAAAATGTGTAAAAATCAGAAATAATTAGGAACATAATATTTTTCTATATAAAATCATGGTTGCAATCAACTATTTAATAATGATGAATAAAGTAGCATAGAACTACATAATTTTATACTTTATTTGAGATAATATTTTATTTATATTTCATTTGTTTTTAGACTTTATTCATAATTTCATCGTTAACTATAGTTTTGGTTCTGGCTAGCAGTAACATTGTAACTTCAGTCTATGTCGAATCGGTAATGTTGGAAGTGACATTAGAATGGTAATGCTCATAAAAGATTTGTATAATACTTTTATTCTATATTTCGCCTGTAGCAGTAACATAATTACAAATAACGATATTTTCTTGAGAATGCTCCTTTCCATTTAAAATTTCGTAATGTAATTCAATTCTTATCTTTTGTATCTATTTACAATACAATTTAAGCGAAACTTTATCGATCGATCTATTAGTAATCTGTTTTATCGATTTTTCGAGATTGTTGTCTGACTGAACTTGAATTTTATTAAAAACAAATTTTATTTTCTAATTCCTACTTTAATTTTATTGCCAACAAAATATTTCGACTTCTCTCCTTTTTTGATAAATAAAACCCACTCCTCGAATCCA